CTGGGAACATAAAGACTAATCGAAAAACACCAGATTTGATTCATGGTGGTAAGAAGTAACAGTAAGATACAGAGATTATTGTTAAAAACCCTACTTTGATCAAGCTCTTGATTTCTTCCTCCATCTCTCAGATTTTTTTTTTTTTTTTTGTGGATTGTTGAGTTTAAGCAATAACAAAGGTTTTAATATTGGTTTTGCAACAACTACAACCCACCCACTACTTCCCTTATGTCAGTATTAGAATCAGTCCTTTGTTTGTTTACAAAAAAAATAAAAATAAATCAGAACTCTCTAAACGCCTCTATGTAAAAGCTTCATTGTAATTTGATATAGTGTGAATTAGATGAATAACCAAAAGTGTGCCAACTAATTAATATCCAAAAAAAAAGGTGAGAAACATATAAGGGGTGATTGGTGCAAGCTTTAGAGCATCTCCAACTTACTTCTATATTTACCTTTAAACACTATTTTAGAGGCAAATCTATTTCAACTAACTTCTATTCCCAGCTCTAAAATAGAGATATCTATTTTTCCTCAATAAATAGAATTAAACTTTTCTAAAGAAAAAATTTTGAGGAATACATTGGAGTAAAAATAGAGAAAATTTATCTCTATTATAGAGATAGAGATAAAAATAGAGAAATACATTGGAGATGGTACCGTAACTTTATTTAAAGTTTTAACCGCCAGTTTTTCACAAATCACACTTATACTAATCTATGTGTGGTATTGTCGTAGAGAATATCTCAGATGTATGGTTCAATTGTTCATGTTAGATGAGGCTATCGGCGTAAGATGGTAGTTCTCCGTAGTTATCAATATGGGAGAATTCACATGGCTCAACTTCAAGTGAAATTTAACACCTAGACCTAACCGTCCATAAATATGAATCACCGATTTAATTTTAATCGATTAATATAAATTCATACGAGGAATGTCGTCCCTTTTGATGTATCAACTTTCGTAAATACTAAATACTTTTTATCAAAACAAACTTTCGAAAGTACTATTAAGGGAAAATCTAATCAAAAGACTATACTATACCGTAATATTTTCAGTAAATTTAAGTCATATTTTTTTTTCAGGTTTCTTTATTTTCAGTATAGATGAAGAATGCAATTTTGTTATCAAACATCTATTAATCTATTAACAAGATCTAGTTAATAGATAAACAATAATAAATTTTAGTTTTATTCCGCAAAATGATTAGGGTAATCTGCGAGTTAATTTATTTGACCGTCTCAACGAAATGTATAACAATAGACACACTAGGATTTCTTACTAATAACTCTCGTTGAAACACAATTAACTGCATAAAACGATCTGGTGAATTCGTGATTCGATCCATCTTGCACTTGCACATTATCCAATACTCGTAAACAACCCTAACAGAATAAATAACTTGCGATTAAAGAAATCAATTAAAAACAAGTCTTCATTGATGAATCTCTCCATCAAGC